TAAAAATTTTTAAATTTGCTTAATGTTGTGTGTAATGTTTATTGATTTTGAAGTACTTGTTTAAATGTACACAAATCATAAGTCAGTGATTTTTGAAAAATTTATCTCTAAAAAAATAATATGATGTATGAAGTAATAACAATTTAACTATGTTTTAGGATGTAACACAGTTTAGGTGTTACACGGATATTTCCATCGCGTTGTTCACGCGCATTTCCCGACTGCATGACATAGCGATCCTGGCCGCTGGAATTTTAGGAAGCACATTTAGCTTCGGACGCGTCCGATGCAGCAACCGAGTTTCACCCATTTTCCCACGCGCAAAAATGCTAATATTTATACGTACGATTGCCATAAAACTAAACGTGCTTTTCGGCATGACTCTGTCCAGATGCGTAATTTACGACCAGTTCGTGGCAACAGCGACATAAATGGTGAAATGTGCAAGGATTTGGTTTAAGTTAATACGTGATGTACGATGTCTACGTACTCTCACAGTTTTTCCAACTAAAAGTTACTCGATTAACTTGAACGAAGAATTTTGCAAGTAAAATTTTAAAAACCGAATTAAAATAAAATTTTTAGTAATTCATTTAATGCTCTTAATTTTTAACATTTATTATATTTTATGTATATTAAAATGAATATAGTAAGAAAATAGAACAATGTATCTTATAATAGTATTTTTTAATTTGTGTATAGTTATAAGAAGTATTTTCCTAATTGAAACTTGGAAATATATTTTATTTTAGAGTTAGATTGAGATATAAGAATTCTGTAAATAAGTTCTTAATTAATTTATTAATTCTGTCATTCAAAATAGTATAAAAATGGTTTGCCACACATAATATTTATAAATATTACTTACATTATGAATTTTATATTACATTATAAATTTTAATTTTCTTGCTTTTTTTCTTAAAAATTTTTTTTTTCGGCTTTAATATTTTCAGGTTTCCTATTTTTCTTTCCTTTTTTTTTCCATATCTCCTTTTTTATTAATTTTTTTTTTTCTTTCTATATCCTTTTTTCTTATTTCTTTTTTTTTTCTTTATTCTCAATTTAAAGGATTTCATAAAAAGTGTTATTTTGATTGCAATGTATGAATTTACAAAAGCGTAAAGATCGCGCTTTGTTATCTTTTGAGATCAATGGGATTACTAAAAATCTGTATCCACCTTATTTCTCCAACTCTCTTGTGCTCTTTCGTTTCTCTCAATTTAAAGAAGTTCTCGAGCTTAAAGGAACGGAGTTATGTTTCAGGCTACTTAAACGATTAAAAAGAAATAGAACGCTATTTATATGACAATATTTTACGGTATCGTGCGCATACATATGTACTTCAATACTGCAAAAATTTCGAAACGGATCGCTTCTTCTTCTTCTTCTTCTTCTTCTTCTTCTTCTTCTTCTTCGTTATAGAGAAATATATTTCAAGATACCATACCGATGGATCCATCCTTATTCTTTCGCCGTCCTCGTGTCCTCTTGACTTTTGAGCTATCCTCTCGAAGGCTACTCGTTTCCCTCGAGCGAAATCCATGAAGTCACGCAATCCCAATGCACAATTTTCTTCTTCGATATTTTCCGGCATACGGAGCACGTATGTTTCCTCCGGTTGCTCTTCTTGTAAGCGAAATATGTGCGCATGTACTCGCAAATGTATGCCTATATATATGTACAAGCGTGTCCGGGCGCAATCGAGCGAGTGAAAACGCCAAGGAACGAAAGGACGAATGAGCGAGGGAAAATTGTAGACTCAATGGGGTTGATGACCCTTGCTCAGCAAAGCGACTGCCATCAGCTCTTTCATGATCGGAATAGTTTTTGCCGACTGAATAATTTAGAAGCCTAGCCTGTTTTAAGGCCATTTTAGACGACGGAATTCCACTTATAATTTTATTATTTTCTATTTAAAAGACGCATTAATAATTGTTTTCTGTTCTTTGCTGTAACAGCGACGAGAAATGTTATCGCGAACGTCTCTCTCTCTCTTATTATTTAATTATTACAATGTGCGTAAACATATCGATCAATCGATCATGCTGGCATAATGCTTAACGGGTGTAACGCGATGCGTGCGAAATATGAATATTTACTTAACGAGGCCAGATGTTGGTCCATAAATCAACGTACTTCATAATCTATACGGACCCTCCAAATACATAAACCGTATAACGAGGCGTTGCATCGTACCATGTATTAAATATATTAATGGCGGTATTAACACAGGGCGTGAAAATAATTTATGATACCGCAAATGTCAAACTCCGGAGCGCGCGCCAAATTTTTATCTGCGAAGACACATGACGTTAAAACACGATATAGACATAAATATGACGGACTGTTTATCAAAACTATTTTTAAAATACACTTGGAAAAAAATATCAATCCTTTTTTATGAGTTATATTCCATTTCTCCGCTGTTTTAAAATTTTATTTCCTGCTATTAAGTTTCGAATTACCGCGAATATAAAAGGATGTCGTTACTCTTATAAGGAAGTCGAGATGGTATCGAATAATAATAAAATTTCCTTATAGCCTCACGTGACATATAAATATTTTCTTTTTTCCTGGCAATATTAATTAATTAAATTTTTTAAATAAAAGTTTATGCGCAAAGATATTGTGGCGCTAAGTATTTTAAATCAATAAATTTCCGCATGATTTCGAAATTTGCGGCATCGATGACTGAGCACTGGGTCTATTGAAATAATTGAACCATAGGTGAGCTAATTACTAGCTATGGTGCTTGAACTGTGGTTTATATTAGCGTATGGTACAACAGTACGATGCCGCGAAGCTGAGAATGTATATATGCACGCATATTGGTGTGCACCATTGAGTATTTCGTGAATTTATGTGAATGTTTGACGTAATTAGGATGGCTGTCGTACGTATATATGTGCCTCAATATGTCGTGACTAATAGACATGTAAATAGCCGCAACCCTCAGCTATTTCCTGCAGCAATGCCTTGCGCGAAACAGATAAATTCTCTGTTATAATTCCTTCTCTCATATTAAATATTATTACGATTCTGTAATACACTATAAATTATAACAAAATAGTTCATAAATTATACATAAATTATAGTTCCTTCTGATTCGATATAATTTATTATTATTCGTATCTTTTATTTTTGCTTAGTTATCTATTCTTTTACTTCTATTGATTTTAATCTTTCTGATAAACTCCATGAATTAGAATTGAACAACACATAAATTAATAATAATTAGTACGTATCATGTTACGTATTTCAAATCAGTGATTGTATAATGAATAATTGCTAGCAATGAATAATAGGAGTAATCAAGGTTTGATTTATTAATTATTGTTTGATAAACATGATTATATATTTACATACTTAATAATTTAAACATGTTTACTTTAAACATATTTAATTAGAAAAATGATTAGTTACTGAACATTTTGATTAAATCTAATTTTCTTATTTAAGAATTACATTTGCGAAAAAAAATTATGATTTGTTAGCTGCAATGAATAATAAAATCATTTCTATTTGCATGCCAAAAATAATTACATAGTCAAACACACAAATTGTACAAAATGATGATATGAAATTCACATATTAGTATTACTATACGTAAGAATTTGTAATAAATGATCGAAAGATAATAAGAAAAAATAAGAAACAAGTAAAGAACGATAAGATTATTGAATTTTCACTTAACACCTTTGCGGGGCGAATCTTTTCTGGAACCATACGTTGTGTCCGATAGAACTGTTCGTATACGTGTCTATGGAGGAAAACATACGTGACTCGTGTACGAATTGTGTGATATTTTGTATGATATTCTCGTATCAAGAGAAAACTCGAAACACTTTAGATTGTCAAAAACATTCTGTTTTGTTATGTTTTTAAAAATTTTTTATGTATTATCGTACTGAACTAAAATGACATGATTAAATATTCATTAGGTTAAATAACAACATTTTTAACAAAGCTAATCTAAATCAATAAGATTAGATTTTACTTTTTCTCTTAGAATTTTAAGTCAATCTGTATGTAACTATGTATTCATTGTTATAATTATAGAGATTGAAAAAAATTTGTAGCAAATTCTAACTGACAACGACAAAGACTATTGTCAAAAATATGGAAATATTATTGAAATACTTATTGAAATCTTCACAGACGAACGAACGAAAAAACGCACAAAAGCAGCTTGCTCAAGTATTCACTACGATCGTACGGAATAAATTCTTTCTCGTTCGAATCACAGGCAAAGAAGGTTTTTCAGAGAAAATACCGACGGGAAATATTTGCAGGAAAAAGTGCGATGCGCTACTGTCTCTCGAGTTTTTAGTCCACGACGGTAATCTTCGGGGAACGTGGCTTTTATCACTTTACAAAGCAACAGAAATCATTATCATAAGAAATTACATCTGAGGGCTTTAGGGTGACAAATTGTTAAAAAAATAGAATATAAATTGAGATTATCGAAATTACATTACGTTGAACATATATTAAATATCTCAATTAAATGAAATGCTTCTAATTCTCAGCTGGTTTATTAAATACATGAGTTCCTCTTTCAATAATTTCTTAAATTATTTCTCGAATTACGCAAAATATAATAAAAATGTTGATAAATAGATAATCTTATATCAAAGATTTATTTATATTCGCCTTAATACTGAATATCATATTTTTTACTGCATAGCATTTTTTTCAAATTTTTATTCTTAATTTACTTTTTACAAAAGATATGTTAATTTTACGCCCAGTTAAATTTAAATTATGATGAATATTGTGATGAATATTACATTTGTTTTCCATTGAAATATTGACATAGTATTAGGGTCTTTATTTAACATATCTATATTAAATTTAATAAAATTTTTCGGTGAATAAATTTCGCTGCTTTATTTCTTCAGAATATGCTGAATTATTAATTATATAAACTTAATGCGATCTAATAATACGCAGGGGCGTATCAATAATATGTATATATTTCTTGTATTGGCTGTTTCAAGTCATGGTACGACTACAAACTGCGGTGGGAGCCGAAGGAGTACGGTGGAGTTCACATGTTGCATGTGCCGTCCGATCACATATGGCGGCCCGACATAGTACTCTACAACAAGTGAGTTCATCAGTTGCGTCTTGTTTCGATTTTGATTATTATACACATTGATCTGGTATATACATATCGTAGCGGCACAGCATGCTGCCGAGAGAGAAAGAGAGAGAGAGAGAGAGAGAGAGAGAGAGAGAGAGAGAGAGAGAGAGAGAGAGAGAGAGAGAGAGAGA